TAGATATAAAAAGAAATAAGAGGTTTATTATATTTAATACTATTTATATAGAAATATATCCCTAGGAGAGCTAATTTAGAGACTATAATTAAGAGGGTATTTTTTAAAAAAGTATTAAAAATAATAGAGTTTAGTAAGAAAAGTATATAGTGGGAATAAATAGAGCATAAGACTTTAATATAAAGAGAAGAGTAAATTAAAGTACTTAGTAAGATATATAACGTAGTTTAGAATAACGCGACTTATAATATAAACTTATAAATATAATTTTATATTATAATAAACGTAAATAATTATACTACTAGCGCTATACTTATATAGCTTCTAAATAATTATAAACTAAGTACCCTAATTACTAACGCTAACTTTAGTAAGGCTATAATTATTATATAGATATTATTTCGTTTATTTAATTAGGAAAAGTAATATTCGGTCCCGGAAAAAGAAACTCTAGTAATCGTACGAGCCTTAACTAAATACTAATAACTAATAAGCGCAAGTTTAGACCTTATTATAGTATATACTAACTACTAATTAATTAAATAGAGTATAAGGAACTATAGTAAAGTTTACGGTAAGTTAGCGAAGTAAATTAAAGTTTTAATAAAATATAACGTAGAATATTTATATTAACTAAATACTATAAAAATTATCTAAGTAGTAAACGGTTTAAGTTATATATATAATAGGCTATAAGACTTACTAATAAATATTAAGGAGTAACTTATTTTTAAAATAAAAATAAAGAACTAAATAATTATAAGAAACGCTAAGTACGAGCGCCCTAGGTTAGGGTATTTTTAAAGCCCCGTAAGGGTATAGGATATATTTAAATCTATTTTAATAAACTTAAGTAACACTAAATAAGCTTTAAATAAGGAGTAAAAAAATAAGATCTAATATATACTTTATAATAAGCATAGACTCCGGGAATAGTATAAAAATATTATTAAATTCTTTTTTAAAAAATTATTAACTATTAATTATTTTTTAAGAAATAAAAAGCGTTTAATAAGAGTAAAAGTAATACGATATAAGATATAGGAGTACGAGTTATATAGGAATAAAACTAATAATAATTTAGCCCGGTACGTAAGCAAGGATTAAGTAGTATAATAACTATATAATATATATAATAAAAGAGGCTATTTCGGAGTACTAATTACGATATACTATTTACGAGGGCGTATATTTTAACCTAAAAGAATATAAGACGTAGACCTATATATTAAGTTATGTTAAGTATACTAAGTATATAGCCCGAGACTTTAAATATTATTACTAAAAAAGATCTCTATATTAGAATTATAAAAAATAGTAGCTATTAACTTTATAAAAGAGATTACTTTAATAGTAGTAAATAGTTCGAAGTATATCTTAGTAAATATTAATTACTTTACTAAGTTCGGCGTTTTTATATTATATAAAAAGGTATCTATAAAAGCGGTATATTAAGTATAGTTATTAATAATCTCCTTAATCTTCGGGTAGCCTAAAGCTATTTATTATAATAATAGTAGTTATTTTAAAAATGTACTATTTATTATAATTACTGATTATTACGATACTAAGCTTATTTATAGTCCTATATCTTACCCTCGGTTTATTAGTTAAGTAGAGCGTATAGTATAATTAGTTAAATTATAGCTTATAAAATAGGTATAGTCCTAACCTAAGGAACTAAGGATATAGTAGTATTATAAAGTATTTATAATCGTAAAGTAACTTAACTTACGATATATCTAATTAATATTTATTATATTATTATTAGCTATGCTTAAGAAGAATACTTTATAAAATATAATAGCTACCGATAGCTTTAATAACTTAACCGAGGTACTTAAAAATATTACTAAACTTATTATTATCTTTAACGAGGAAAATATTAATATAGACCCCGCTACGGTAAGCTAGAGTATTATTACTAATATTAATATAAAAAAAGAATTATACGATAATATAAGAGATAAATCGATACGTATAGCTAAAATAGTAAATATAGAAGCTATTCTTATTAAAAAGTTTAATATAAATAATCTTATTTAAAAAAAAAGTAATAAGGACGGTAAATTAAACTCTAAATTCGATCCGTTATAGACCGGTCCTTATTAAGTTATTAAGATTATATTAAATATATTATATTAAGTTAGAAATATTATTAAGAACTATGAGGGTAAAAAGAGAAAGGTATACGTATTAAACTTTAAAATATATACTATTAGACCCCCTTAACTCTAAACTAAGTAGCCTATTACTAATATATATACTATTACTAATATTAATAAATACCATAATATATAATTAGAGGACGTATTACTCGCGCTAATAATAGAGCTAAAAAGATAAGTAAGGATAGTACCCGATAATTAGTAAATATAATAATAAGGAATAGTACTAGTAGAGGCGTTTTTTATATTAATTAAGAGTGACCTAGGTTAGGTTATCGTAGAATTAAGTAGGCTAAGAAGCTAGTATTACTACCCCTACCTATACTATGTATTATTATGTAATTAGTAGAGCTATATTAGCACCGTGCTAGAGCGCACTTTATACTTAGAGAAAACAAGCATTAATTACCACCACTTTTCACCTGCTATTCCTCTCCTCCTCCTCAATCGCATCGGCAATGACCAATGCCAACGAATGCGTCTAGCGGGGGTATGATGCAACGTTTAACGGGCACGGCTTTGCCCGGGGGGCATTGCCAGAAGGAGGAGAAAGAATGCAGAGAGGGGGCAAGCGGTGAGGTCGCATCTCCTGATCTGCACCGTTAGATGCCATCCGCTGGTTCATTACGAGAGGCACAGCCCAACCGTCCAATTAGACTCTGCCTAATCTTCGATCTGGCGGTTAAGGAAGCTTGTGGCTTTTGTTTTTCTGGAGATTCTTCTGCCCTTCACATTTTTTTCGCGTTTCACAACTTTTCTTCAATTGCACATGTTGGCTTGGTCGCCGTTGAATTTTGAATTGACACCCCATTAAAAGGGTCTCATCGTTCGGTTCCTTCTTGAGCCTCGGCCCTCCGAGGCTCCGACAGATTTAATCATGGCGGATCCAGCACCGGCGGAAGCCGGCCCGCTCGAAGCAGACGTCAGTTCGACGACCTTTCAACATATCTGCTTGCACTCGACAGACCTTGATGCTGATTCTTTTCGATAGAATGGAGAGGAGAACGACAATACCAATGATGACAGCGACTCAGCCATGGGAGTGGTGAGTAGCGGTACCTCGGTCTAGCGGTGCAATGTTACGCGTAAAGCTAATCCGTGTTGCAGTCTGTGCTCGGGTCATCTGCATCCATGACAAGCAGTATCATGCGTTACCGCGAAGAAAATGGAAGAACATACCACGCATATCGAGAGGGCAGTAAGTGATTCAAAGCTCTTCAGCTTGATAGCATCTCACATGTGCTATTGTACTGACCATAGCTTTTGCTTAGGATATGTTTTGCCGAATGACGCGGTAGGTGGTCTTTAGCAGCTTAACCGCCCTTCTCCAACCTCAACTTGGAACTAACGCGTCGTCTATCTGGAATCGCAGGTCGAAAACGACAGGCTTGGTAAGTGACATAGAATTTGTTCTTTCATCAAAGAGATGCTCATGCCTGCGTAATAGATCTTCAACATCATTTATACACACTTACCTTCGATGGAAAGCTGTTTGTATCGCCGGCTGGCCGAGACAAGCCTTTAAAAAGAGTACTAGATGCTGGAACCGGAACTGGAATTTGGGCAATGGACTTTGGTAAGATAGCTGTATCCGCGAAGTTAATAACTCAAAATAGCTAATGCCCTATTCCTGGCAGCCGATGATCATCAAGAGACACTAGTAAGCTCGCCCAGAGCCCAATAATTCCTTGTCAGGCAATATCTAAAGACTGGCAGATAACCGGTGTCGATCTCAGCCCAATACAACCGCCATTGTGAGTACCATCAGGATAACGATCCTGCCAATCAAGGATTTTCGATGCGTTGATTTACTAATCAATGTTTAGTGTACCTCCCAACGTGACATTCTACATCGACGACCTAGAAGATGACTGGACATACTCCTACAAGTTCGACTTCGTCTTTGGCCGAATGCTCACAGGTTCCATAGCAGACTGGCCAAGGTTTATCCGCCAAAGCTATGAGTAAGTGCTTACTCGCTGCGCCCGGGCTTTAACACTGAATATATACGCCTCCGCGGCTCCGCCTTCTTGTCTGACGGTATATCATAGATACCTCGAACCCGGAGGCTGGATAGAGTTGTCCGACATCCTCTTGGATCTTCAGAGCGACGACGGAACAGTTAGCCCCGAATGCGCAACCCAAAAGTGGGCAGTGCACATGCTTGAAGCGGCAGCGATATGGAAACGACCACTCGACAGCTGCAAATTCTACAAGGAGCAGCTCGCCGAAGCGGGGTTCACCAATATTGAGGAAAAGATTTACAAGTGGCCGTCGAACCCCTGGCCAAAGGATCCAAAATACAAAGAGCTAGGTAAAGCGGCTTCCTGTTCAGCTCTCACCCGTGACATAGGACCAAAACGCTGACTGAATCGCTTTCCGAAGGGGTGTGGACGTACGAAAACCTAGGAAATGGCTTGTCGGGGCTTAGCTTGGCGCTTTTTACTAGGGCGCTGGGTTGGTCGGCGGAGCAGCTTGAGGTCTTCCTGGTGGATGCTAGGAAAGACATGAGAGACAGGTCTATACATGGATGGTGGCCAGTGTGAGCAACTACCTTTTCCCTTGTTACGAGATCGAAGTCCAGCTGACAGTATCTCAGATATGTGGTTTACGCACAAAAGCCGGAATGAAGTCAAAAGCAACCGAGTTGAGAACGCATCGAATGGAACGACAGTACACACGCACGACGAATATAGTTAACCCGCGCCGGCACGCAGGCATGGTATTCTGTGCTTGAACCCAGCAAGTCTTCAAAATATTTACCTAATCAATCCAATGACCTGGATTATTGATCTGAAAAAGAGACTGCAATTAAAGCTCCCTCATTATTGTTCAGAGTGAGGCGATACCATACTTTTTCTTGATGATATCCGCAATCTGCACTGAAGTTAGTAATCGCGTACTTAAGCGCTTCAGATGCCCTTCTTACCTTTTCTCCAGAGGCATAAGTCGTTGCCGTCGGCGCTGCAGTCAACACCATGGGCCAATAACTAACATCAATAACCCTCAATCCCTTAACCCCATAAACCTGCATCTCCGTATCCACCACACCTCCTTCTTCCTTGGGTACCATAGCCGCAGTACAACACGAATGGGCGTTCGAAGGTGACATGTTCGCAGCCAGCAACGTCTTCATCTCTTCTTTGGAAGCGGTATCATACGGCGATGCCATCTTGGGCCCAAGAATCTTCATCGCCGGCGCAGACATGATCTCCTTCCCCTTCTCAAACAGCGCCACAGCGAGGTCGAGGTCAGTGGGATCAGAAGCAGTGCGAAAGTCAATGACGGGTTGCTGCAGCGGGTCCGTGGAGTTAATCTTCACCGAACCGCGGCTCAGCGCCCGGAGAAAGTAGAGCGTGATACTATTGCCGGTACCCCAGTGGACCATGCCGAGGGGCACGTCTTGTCCTGCGAGCTGGTCGAGAACGATTTCCCGCTGCTTCTTGTAGCCTTCTTGAACGGATGCAGGGGTACCTGGAGCAAGATACTCGGTGGGGTCGTGGGACTTTGCAGTGGCGAGGATGTCGCGCCAGGAGGAGGTTGTGTTGGCTAGCGGCGGTACGGCTAGGTTTGTGCTCAGGGTTCTGACGATGGTGTACGCTCCCTGCTTTTTGGCGTCGTAAAGGGCGCGTTGTTCAGCGTCGTATGTTTTGTTGGTGTCTAGAGCTCCAGAGTTGGGGAAAACATTGTTTTCAACTGTGTTGTTCCCTTCAGTCACTATACTTTTGCTCTCGAATTGAAATGGTACCAACATGTGAAGGGAACCTTTAGTTCACCCTGATCCATAAAGTTCTCGCCGACCCCAGGCAGATCTGCAATGGTATCGATTCCAAAGCTCTTCAAGAATTTCTTTGACCCAATGCCAGAAAGCTGTAGAATCTGTGGTGTATGGAGCGCCCCAGCTGCCAGCAGGACCTCCTTCTTTACGTAGACCTCGAGGGGCTCACCACCAGTTGAAGGTAGATACTCGAGACCAACGGCCCTCCTTCCCTTGAATAGGATCTTGGATACAGTGTGTCCAGCCAAGATGTGGTAGTTGGGACGAGAGTCTTTGACGCGTTGGTAATGATTGATCCGCGCGTGGCTCCGGGTCCGGGTTGTTGCGTCGGCGAGGGTGGGGAAGGTGAAGAGACCGACAGCCCGGTCGCCGCCATTGGGGTCCGGGGAAGGGGTGAGGCCGCTTTGTAGAGCAGCTTGCCAGAAGTTTTCTACGTGATTTTAGTGGAAATTACATGTCGGAACCCTACTCCTTTCTGTATTGAGATACATACCAGCACCGGGGAAATAATAATTGGGATACGAGGCACGGACAGGTCCGGTGTGGCCGTGAGCCGACTCTACCCACGAGATGTTGGCAGCGTCAGCAAAGTCTTGAGGCGGGGTCGTGAAATTCTCGCTCTAGCAAAGGTGTGATTAGCACTCCCAGTTCCATGCTGAATGTACATCCAGATAGAACTCACTTTCCGAAAGTACGGCAACAGGTCATCCCATCCCCAGCCTTTGGCACCCAGCTGCTCCCAAGCCGCATACTCTGACTTCCCACCGCGCACAAAGACCATGCCGTTGACTACAGAACCGCCACCGACTACTCGACCGGCAGGCACTGAAAAAACGCGGTTGTTCAACGCAGGCTGTGGTGCGCTGTTCAAGTTGGGCCAAAGGTATGGCACAGGGAAGAAGTGTCACGAGTTATGGCACGCAGCAATGGGCATACGGAGTGTGGTAAAAGTGGCTTAACATATTAAAGTAGAAATAGACAAAAGGAAAAGGTCTATATACACGATGTCTGAGATAGACACGTGATTCAGCACGTGACGGGCACTTCGTGAGATGCGGTTACTATCCCTGTTACGTGACACA